AAGCCCTCTCCTCTCTATCTCAGAAGGTAATTAATTAACATTCTTTCTACCTCAAGGTGTAATTGGTTAATCAGTGCCTTCGTGCTTTGCTGGAGATTCCTCTGAGAAAAGCAACCCTTTGCTGCTACGCAACAATAAAGGTACCCGTGTGAAGGAGATTTCTCCCGTCCAGTGATTTATTTGGTCAGCTGTCTCCAGACTTTAAAAAAACAACCACCCACGTGTTTTGGGTTTATCAGCTTATTGTTGCTGGGTCTGAATTTTTGCAATCCAGGTCTGACCCTGATCCAGCATACCAGATTTGTATGATTGGGTTCAGTGAATATCTGTTGTTCCTCACGGCTCTCTTAAATGCTATTCATGAGTTCTGGGCTTGCAGAAAACTAAAATTAGTTGTCACACAAACGGTGATGTCATGCATGCACATATACACTTTTCTTTGATAAATAATATTGCCTCACCCCACCAAGTGAGTCGGTTTGAATCCTTGGTAAAAAAGGTGTCAGAATAAAAAAAAGTAACATAACGATATCTTATGTGTCAGTTGGAGGCCAGATGAAAGCAGGCTGTGGCTTATCTTATGTGACCTAGTGAATAATTATTTTTTTCAATAAATCATGAAGGATTACAGAGTCATAAAACGGAAGTTTTTTATGACAAAGTATAAGGACCTGCCTCAATTATCACTCGCAAGAAAGCAGAACTCTTGAAACTGGCATCGTTTTAAAAGGAACTTTTATTGAGAGACAGTGAAAGCAGAAAAGCAAGGCAAGATCTGAATATTTCCTGGGAACTGAACCATTTCATTAAAACCCCAGTCTTCAAACCTCTCCCAACTGCCCAGTCCATTTCCAGCCAATTCACAGGTGTGAAGTTGTTATGGGAACTGGAAGCTGAAAGATGGATAAAGTAAGGCACTGTTCCCAGGCATTGCATCTTCTTCCCAGCAAAGTAGAGATAAGACAGATGGCCCCAGGCACATTCCTCCCCCCTTTAACACCTAAAGATATACATCAAAGATTGAAAGAACAAAGCAGAGGAAACATCCCAGAGCCCCCAACTTCCTCCTCCAAACAGAACAAAGCTTCCCCCCTCCCAACTGGATGGAGGCGTCACGGGAATGTTTCATGGGGCCTGACACAAAGTATGTTATTTATTAAATAGATTGATATGACTACCTAGTTCATATATCATATGTTCTGAAAACATTAGATATATGTAATGGTATCCAAGTTCACTCAGTAAAACTCCAGCATTTAATATTCTTTAGCTTTGTGCTTCCATAACCTGTATGGAAACTTTTAAAAAAAAATTAAAACCAAATATATTTACAAGAAATAAAATCTGAATGGGCAATGAGTGGCATGGCGGCCTAGTGATGAAGATGCTCGCCTCCCACTCAGAAGGTTGAGAGTTCAATCCTAGGTGGTGGAGGATGTTTCTCTCCTAGGGCATAAAGAAAAATATCTGCTGTGAACTCCTGGCCAGTAAATGCTCAGTTCTATCCAATTGTCCTGACTCTACCCTGAATTAAGAGACTAAAGGGTTGGAAAAAAAGGTCTGAATGGGATATGTAAATTTAAAATAAAATTGATGAGAAAAAATCATAGGATATGTTAGATGTATTAAAGAATGGTATTTTTATTTTTCAAAATAGTAAAAACTAATACAAACTAAAAGAAAGAAAAAAGAAAAGTCAAAGGTGCCAAGGGAAAAGAAAAAATAATAAAGCACAAAGAATACAAAGAAAAATATAAAAAGGTGACTTCCAAACTTCATTACAAGAAGTATAAACATTTTTAGTGACTTTTCACCCCTTGGTAAATTACAACAAATGACCTCTTCTTCCCGTATCCCACCTCTTCTCTATAAATAAATGTATAAAACATCATTATTTCAGTCCTGATTTATTAAGTTACAAGAAATAATGAAGTATCTAGTTTAACTATGAGATAAGCCAAATTTATGGTCATTCCTTTTACTTCTAAGAATTTTAATGTTTAATATTTTGAAATAATGTCATTTTTTTGTCCCTTCTCAAAGATTCTACAATAAGTCTTTTTTGTAAACCCAATATATAAAAATTATCCGGGTTACTCTGTTGGTTTAAAGTTTGTATATTCCTTTTAATTATTAAAATATGAGCCAGTTTATTTTGTTATGTCTAGCATAACCTTTTTTTTTTCATTTTTGTTTCCTGTCATTGGTAATTCTACTTTACAGTCAGTGTCTTTTTTCTCAGGTAAAACATATTCCTCTTCCATAACATCTTTTAGACAGTCTATCTATAAAAGCAGTATCACTCTTGACATTATTGATGTAAATTTCTGATTGTTTTTTCTAAAGTATCTTTCAATATTACCAATGTTAGAATATTTTGTGCCATTATGTAGCTGTTAATCAGGCTTGTGTGTTCTGCTTTAATCAAAATCTTTGGTTTCCTTGTGTCCAGTTTTTAAAATCATATTTTTTATTCAAAACGGTAGGATTTTCCAGCAGGAATGATTCTTTGTAATTGTAAAATCTTATTTCTTAGTTTGTTTGATGCTTTCTAAAATCAAAGTTTTAATCAACCTTTTGCTGTTTACTTTTTTAAGTTCTTAAGCTTGTAGTTAAAATTTTCTTTCATTAAAACTTGAAAGCAGACTCACCTGGTATTTTCAAACTTCTTGTTCCAAAGGTTCCTTAACAGATGAAAAGTAGTAATAAAGAATTTCTGAACGTGACTAGAAGAAATATGTGAATATAGTGTCCTTTTAAGAGTGCTGATCAGTTTGAGGACGATGACTATTCCCTCATCTCCCAGTGCTGAAAACCTTCCATAGATTGCTGTTTTGCAGGGAGCAACTGATTCTAGAGGATTTGTAGCAGATTCTGGTGCTCTCCTTTATCTGGAAAGCCAATGGACTCACTGGTTCTTCAGTCTTTATTGCAGTTATCAGCTCTATCTTTTGCAGAGCCCTCTTCAGTTCATTTCTTCCTCTGGAAATCTGTATTTTTATTAATTCTTTACCACCAGAAGCCATATGGAACAGGACAGAACTGTCTGGATCACCAAATTCCCATCCAATCAAATTGACCATACTCAGACGTTGATTCAAAACACCCCAAAATGTCTAGTAGAATAATAAAATGTGGTGAATTTGTCTTCAGATGGTAAATCATCATGTGGAATCAAATTTATGCCATGAAAGTGCAGCTTTTCGGCTTAGCTTGCTCTTCACTGCAGCTAGTATTTCAGTTTTCTTTGATTTCCAAGATTTTATATTCAAAATAACAAAACTCTTTCATCTAGCCGTTGCACCTTGAAGGCTGAAGTTTAGGGATAATAGACTGAATTTGTATAAATTGGAAGATTTAGCAAGAGTTTAGAAACACCTCCAGCTTTAAATCACTGCAAACTGACATTAGCAACACTATTCAGAAGTCATTTTTTCCTGGTTCTTTGATATTTTGTGTCTTTTGTTGTCCTGTACCTCTGTGTAACTTCAGGGTAGTTCATTTTTCTACTGCAGAGAGATCTTGTATTACTCTGCCTCCCTGTTTCTCTACTTCCTTTTTATTGCCTATTATTTCACAAAACTTTCAAAAGGAAAGGTGACTAATTGATTTTGCAGATCTTGTTCACAGCAACAACTAACAATCAGAACATGGATTTGGAGGCAAGATACTAGCACTTTATCTCCTTTTTGTTTTGGAGAAGAAAGAGAGATTTTTATTCTACCATATCCAGGATAGCTTAGAGATGATCATCACAAAACGACATTTTTCCATGGTTCTTCAGCAGTTCAGATCAATGGAAATAAAGGGTTTACAGAGTAGAAAGGATGAAAGCCCTTTTCATCAAAAATAAAATTAACAATGCATTGTTAGGCAAGTGAATAGAGCAATCAGAGATTTTTTAGGAATCTACATTAAAGACTATCCTTCAATCCTTGAGTAAATAGAAAAGTATACTGGCATAAATTGTGCAGTCCCCTTTGTCAATCCTTACTCTGCCACAATAAAAAGATACTGTCCTTATGGATTTGAGGGTTTTGTTTCCCCTCCGAATAAATGTTATTTGCCAAAGAGAAAAACCACTACAATTCTCACTGCAGGATAGGATGGGGTTGGATAACAATTGGAAAGTTTAAGAAACTTACAGGTAGCTACTAAGCAGGGGATGTGAAGTGAAGAAGGAGACTTGTTTGAACTAGTAACCCCTGCTCTGCACCTATGATTTGTTAGGCAATTCTGAACACACATTTAACATTCTTCCAAAAGAAAACTAAATCTGTTTTCAAAAAATAGTTTGATAATTAACATTAGTATAGGGAAGAAGAACCAAATTTGGTAGCAATTTTTAGAGATTTGGGGCTGCCTGGGTTCAACAGTTTTGAAGGCCACAAATATCTGTGCAGCTTGTAGCTTAGCCTACGAAGCCAGCCAATTGTGATTTATTCAGGAATGCTGATCAAAGATTATAATAAAATATCAATTTATTCCGCAAACCATGCTTAAGCCACCCATGCCTTCAAATGGTCTGTGAATTCAGTACTTCTTTCCATGATAAAAAGCCTCTTGTGACTAATCTCTATACTTGAAATGTAAACCACTTTTAAATTCATGTTTTATTGATTTTCAGCTATAATGGAGAAGAGAAAGAATATAACCTACCAGCTATGAACCATAAAATACAAGTTCACAGATGTCAGCATAGGGATAAAGCTTTTATCTGGCAAACAACATGTCAAGTTTGATGCTAGGTGATAATGCTGTGGAAGAAAATGCTAGAAATGAGACATCAGAAAGGGGTGAATTCTGAATAACAATTTCTATCAATTATGGCAAGAGATTTGCTTATCTGACTCCCCATTTTTCAGGAGTCAACTTCAGATAAAACATTTAAATAAAAACGATGGAATAAGCTTTATTTGGTATACATGAGAAGAACATGATTGTTTAAAGAATAATAGACAGTTTGGAAATGGCTGGAGATTAAAGATTTGTCTGGGAAGTAGAGTTCCATTTTTTATTTTTATTTTGCAGAAAGGCTAGCATATAAACAGCAATTTAACACAAAAATGTTAAAATGATTAATATTGAAAATTATTACTCTTTTAAAATAATTTATTTTCATGAATTTGTTTTTAACTGTATACTCACAAATAATACATTATTCAACAGAGGTATGCTGAACAAACTCTAAAAGAAACATAAATAAAACAATTATTTTTTTGTTAAAATGTCTGTTCACTCAAATCTTATATTAAAACACTTGCAGAAGTATACTTTTGTTGATAAACATCTGGTTTTGTGTTTGCAAGGAATGCAAACAAAAATGAATATTAATTTGAATGTTCAAACGTTGTAAAGGAAAACTATAACTGTACAAACACATATTCATTACTTCAACATACAAGGCAACCAAATGATTCTGTCATCAACATTAGCATCATGTTTATTTTACTTCACTGCACTAACATTTAAACTAAAACTTCAAACCATGCGGTCTGTTTGTGACTAACATTTAAATGGCAAGCAGTAATACAGAAGAAGTTACAAAGGAACATTACTAGTATACAATTAAGACAGGGTGTGATTTGATAAAAGCTGATGATGTACATATGGCTTCTTTTTCTTGTAAGATGCCCATCTACAGACAGGACAGCAGTGTCGCCCCCCTACTAGCCACATCACAATGCAATTCTGGTGAAAGACATGGCCACACGGTAAGCCCATTAACAGACATTCATTTATGAAATTTTCTAGACATACAACACATTCAGTACAGTGCAGCATGCCAGCTGGCCAAGCTGACCAATCAGGCTCCAAATCATCTCTAGTACTGTATGATCCATATGACTTGGCTTTGGCACATGAACAGGTCTCAGCACTGCAAAAAGTTTCTCCTTCACAAGGATTTAGATGGGTTCTTCTCTCATCCTCAAATAACTCTTTATCATTATTTGGAACCTCTTTGGATTCACTATCTGAGTCATTTTCACTTTGGGAGAGTTCCATCATTTCCTCTTCTGAGTGTCCATCAAAACATTTAAATCGCCATATAGGTAAATTTTTGATATAATCAGTTGGTATCAGAGGATGAAGCCACAAATCAGGGAAAGCTAAGCGATCAAGAAAGAGATCTGGGTCTTCATCCCAATCAGATTCAAAGGGGAAATGCTGAAAAGATGTGATTGGATGGAATAGATAACTAGTGTACCAGTCCCAAAGGCTTGACAGCCACTCTAAGTTATTGGCATTTATTTCATCACTGTTATTATGTCGTCTTTTTTTCTCAAAATAATCAATTAATAAACCATGTCCCAGATACGTGCTGAGGAACAAGGCAGGGTGTGATGAGTAGAACATCCAGTCAGCTCTTACCCAGGAAGCAAGGGTCGTTGTATTAGAGTAACGGAACAGTTTTAAACTATATTCGTAGAAACTATCTAAATAAGGTAATTGCAAAAATCCCAGAACTGGTAGCCAGGAAATGATTAAAAGAGAATTATAAGTCCCTAAAGTGCTTATAAGAACAACAAAGCGCTTTATAGTAGCACCTTGGGTGATAAATAAGTCCATCCATGCCATCAAATTAACTAAGACTAAACTTAAAACAAATAAATCATTAACTTCAGGTTGTAAAGATCGCAAGAAGGAGTCCATAGCATGAAGGGATATAAATTCACCAGTATTATTTCCATACTTGTAAATACCTTCAGGAGTTCTAAGAATATAAGATGGTGTCTTATAGATGCCCATTTCTGTGATGTGACTCTTGTTGTCCCAGTTTTCTACATTCACAAAAATAAACTCAACTCTGCCAGTAAATTTCACACTTAGTGCAGAGAAGAAAGCTGGAGGCTGGTCTAATTTAGCAAACAAATATATTTTTACTCTATACTGGTAACCTTTATTCCATTCTTCTTTCAAGTGTTCTGATTTGAATATTGTTTTGATTCGTGAAGCAGCATGGGCTGTTATCCATTTGAAAATATGTTCTGTTTCTATTTTACGTCCATTATATTCTTTAAGCATTACTTTCCCTTTGGATGTACTTGTTTGTGGAACTGACATAATTAATGTGGACCTTACCCAACCTCTTCTTCTGCAGTATCTACAAAGAAAACATTCAGTTAAATTAAATAGTAATTTAAAAAGTACTTCTTATAGATTAATGGTAGAGTATTAATAATTAATAATAATCTGTATTAATATGTAATTTAACATTTCTAATATATGCAGGAGCCCATTAATAGTCATTTCAACAGAACTGGAGAAAACCCCACAAAAAAAAAAAATGATCTCAGAAGTCCTGAATTCACTTAATTTGAGTTGTGAGTAATTCTGCTATGAAATGAGGAGTAGGACTGTTGTCCATGACAACTTGGCAAATGCCTATTTTCAAAAACAAAATTACTTTATTTGAGCTGCTTTAAAAAGTGAAATATATCAGAAGTATAGAAATTAAGTTTTGGTTTTGCAAATAGGTTCCTGTCAGTTTTCTATTTCATATTAATTTTTAAGGTATGAAAGGTCAAACTGGGCTACACTTTGAGGTATGGCTGGTGGCAGAGTGATGGAACTGAAACAAAGTTTGGACAGCTTTGGAAAATGGACTGAAAGAAAATTGGAAAGGATGATTGATTAAATTATGGTTTAAAATATTATTGAGAATAGCATGACTGAATACAGTAAAGCAGATCTGAAAATAGTTCAGAGAAAAGAAAAGGTGGTATGAGAAATAATAATAGAAGACATGGCAACAAGGATTCAGAATAAGGCATTAAGGAAGTATTACAGGGAGTTGACAAAGACAACAGGAGGAGGAGAATAAAGAAGAGGAAATGAAAGGTGCACAGCAAGAAATAGGGAAATTGGAAAGTATGGTTATGGTGAAATGCAGCAAGTGACTACAGTAATGCAGAAGGGAAGGCAGCAGCAGGCATCAAAACCAAGATGTCTGAATTAAAAACAATACTTTGGTACGGTAGATAGATTCTTGAAAAGAAACTTAAGATGAATATAATCACCCAAACCCAAACAGACTCAGCTATAGAAGGGTATGAATAAAGATACTGAAGAAATGATGTCAGCTGTAACTGGGATGAGAGCAACCTTTTGGAACAGCACAGAAAATATATTATGGGGCCTGAAACTGTTGTTCATTGAAAGTTTTCAAGGGAAAACGAATTAGAGAAAGTGGATTAATCATTAACTGATCAAAGAAGACTGAATAAGAGAACAATGGTCCATAAGCCATGAAGTAATATTTATTTTCTTCTAAGAGTTGATTAAAGCTGAACTAAATTAGTAGCATGATGACAGATAAACATTGCTTTTTTTGCAATTCAGAATTGGTATTGATAATATCCCCAAAACTGAAAAATAACTCTTCCTCTCTCTGAGACCATTCCAAAATCTAGTAATTCTGAATGTTTCCATCCAAAGCATAAAGAAGTAGCAAGAATCTCTGCCATCCATTCTTGTTATTTTGGATTTCTTCCACAATCTCTTAGAAGATCATATCTTTAACCTGGCATATCTTCAGGACTAGAATAATGATGTCTGTAATACACAGATAGATGACAGTATGTCATATAATCCTTATTGCATTTTGCTTTGGAAAAAATCAGAATTCTTGCTGAAAGCCAAGTTACTTAGTCAATATTCTGAAGTTCAGAATAGTTTCAAAGATAAATGATAGTTTGATTGATTCATAATAAAAATGAATACTGCAATCTCAAGAAATTTATTGTCCAAAATTTGATCCCGGTAAAGTATAGATGGCTATTACTTATCATCAAACAATCTTTTTCCCATTACTTTTTCTTCTAAATGGCTACAATAGTTCAAAGAACATACCTGGGATCATTGGAACAATTAAAAGTCCCTGTACGTATACCAAACCTTGACACTTTCTTCACCATTTTCTCCCAGTGGACTTTTCCCATTAAAGGGCTCCGGTCATTTGCTATGACCTGTTTAAAAAAAAAAAAGAAAACTTAAATATATAACCAGTCAAAGATTCTACATACTGTGTAATTATCTTAAAAAAAGCATTTTTATAAATTCACTTCCATCTTTCAACTAACCTGTCTATCAAATGTAAAATTTATATTAATCAGAAATCTGAATTATATCAGTGTTTTCCATTGGATACACTGGAATACTATATATTATAGATCAGTGGTTCTCAACCTGTGGGTCAGGACCCCATTTAGGGTCGAATGACCATTTCACGGGGGTCGCCAAACAAGGCTGTCCGCCATTTTTTCCCCGTTTTCTTTGGCCGTGCCCCTGGCACCCGGTGATGTATAAGTGGTTGGGGGTCACCACAACATGGGGAACTGTATTATGGGGTCACGGCATTGGAAAGTTTGAGAACCACTGTTATAGCTAATGTATAATTAAATTCTGATGGTGAATGGAAAGCTTTAAAAATATAGTGAAATACAAAAAAAAGTTCTACATCACTAAAAGATTTATATGCCAAAGGAAAAGAATACCTTTAAGTATATTATAGTAAGATAAACATAATAAGCCTCCAATTAACAGGAAAAAAGATCCATATAACCGTAAAAACCTGTACAAAATAATTTTAATCATTATGTTCATCGTTAAATCCAGACCATATAAGAACATATTATATCATCTTCTCATTTTTAGAACATAAGAGACTCTTAAAACATGATAAACTCACATCCTGGTTCCAATCCTAAAAATTAAGAAAATAACTTTCTAATTATGTAAAATTATCCTTTATGCCATATCTCAAGCTTGATGGACCCAGAGCTCTTTATCAGATGACAAATTCCATGTTTTTAGGAATATAATTCAATATTGCACTGATATCCTATAATTATATTCCTCCTAAAATTATATAATATATAGTCAAAGCTAAACTCATATGAGTTAAAGAATTTTTAATTTCTTACATTACTTACATTAAAAAAAATCTAAAGTCCATGAATTTTTAAACAACCTTTGAAATATCCAATATTTGTTTGGATGAATTTATTTCATATTTAAAATATAAGTATACTTCACATTTTTAAATATCTGGACCCTTTGTTCCATTAAATTTGAGTATTACAATATTTAATTCCATATTTGGAATATATAATACTCTAACATTTTAATGCCACATAGAATTGAATTATTGATTTTCGTTATATTGCTATATCACTTTAAGAAGTTAAGTTAGCATGTACCTTAGAGATTGCTAAAGCATCCATGCCTTACTCCCTGGTTAATGTTTCAATTTTATATACTGTCAAATGGTAAATCAAACTCAAAATAGAGTGTCTTGAAATTGTTAAAACAACTATTAGAAATGGAGCATTGTCTTACCTGAATGCCTTTTCTCAGCATGACGATGGAGAATCCACCAATGGGTTACGCTAGTCTTCTGCCCGTAGACTAAGTCAGCCAATTTTGCCACGCCTCTCTTCCTGGGCCCTCCTCCCCCCAGTCTCGGCTGAGGTGAAGTTGTTGGCTACGTTTCCGTGTGTTGGCTCAATCTTTTCCCAGCACAGGACCTGACTGGCCCTAAGGGTGGGAGTGGATTCTCCATCATCATGCTGAGAAAAGGCGTTCAGGTAAGACAACGCCCCTTCTCCAGCATGACGAGTGTAAAATCCACCAATGTGACATTCCCTGTGGGTGGGAAGCAATCTGGGCCTGTGTCCCACTCTCTGATACTACGCATTGGAGGACCCTCCTGCCAAATGAGGCCTCCGCCGATGCAAACTTATCTAATTTGTAGTGTCTTATAAAGGGGGAAGGCAACGCCCACGTCGCTGCCCTACATATTTCCTCAATTGATGCATGAGTCACCCACGCTGCTGATGTTGCAGCGCTGCGAGTGGGCAGTGATTTGTCTAGGAACTGCTAGTTACTGCCCCTGGTATGCCTCTGCTATGCACTTCCTAATCCACCTGCCGATTGTGGATGCTGTGACCCTTCGACCCCTTGAATGCGGGTGGAAGAAAATGAACAGGGCCTCTGATTTGCGGAATGGTGCCGTTCGCTTTATGTATTGCCTTAAGACCCTGCGAACGTCTAAGGCAGTAGTGGCGAACCTATGGCACAGGTGCCAGAGGCGTCACTCAGAGCTCTCTCTTTGGGCACGCGTGCCATCACCCCAGTCCTAGGCCTTCAGCTGGGTTTTATAAAACCTTTTCGCTTTAGGCCTCCGCTGCCATGTGCAAAAAAAAAAAAAAAGGTTCAGTCAATTTCAACTTCTTGCAGGAAAAAAAAGATCTTGCAAAGTTGGAATTGATTGATTGAACTTTTTAGTCCCACCCAGTCTACCGTTACCACTGCAGCCATGCCCACCCAATGGGCCACGCCCACCCAATGGGCCATGCCAAAGTGGGTTTTGGGTTGCATTTTGGGCACTCAGTCTCTAAAAGGTTCGCCATTTGTGCTCCAATTCATGGGAGGGCTGAGGACAAAAATCTGGTAGCACCACCTCCTGTGCCCTGTGGAATAAGGAATTGACCTTGGGAATGGGTCCAGACATAGAACCACCCTGCCTGTGTGGAAGGTACAGAGATCTTCTCTAACTGATAGTGCTGCCAACTCTGAAGTGCGCCTTGCTGAAGTAACAGTGACCAGAAATGCGACCTTAAGGGTCAAATATTGTAATGTGCAGGTCCGAACAGGTTCAAATGGAGGAGAGGTAATGGCCTGTAGGACCTTAGATAGATCCCAGGAGGAATTTCTGTGGACCACGGGCGCTCTGTTGTTTGTTGCGCCCTTAATGAAGGATCGCACCACTGGGTAGTGGTTCAGAGTTGCCGTATGTAAGAATGGTGGACAGGGCGGCCACCTGTCTACGAATTGTGTTGGGTGGTAAGCCCCTATCCAGACTGTCCTCTAAGTAGTCTAAAATCCTTGGAATAGTAATACTAAAGGGGTCCAGCTGCTGCCTTGCGCACCAGCTGCAATAATTTTTCCATGTGGAGTCGTAAATTCTGTTAGTTGTAGGCCTTCTCGAGGCCTGGCTTGTCTTAATGACTCTTTGTGAATAGGTTTCCCCCTCTAGGAGTCTCTGTTCAAGTGCCAGGCAACTAATTGGAGCCACTGTGGCTCTGGATGTAGTAGAGCCCCTTGCTGAGGGAAATTCGATCGTGCAGAATCCTCCATGGTGGGGATGAAGAAAGACTTATGAGGTCGGCAAACCATGGCCGTCTTGGCCAGTGTGGTGCAATGAGTATCACTTCTGCTTGTTCCTGCAATATCTTTCTGATGGTTGCTTATATCAGGGGAAGCAGTGGGAAGGCGTATAGCAATCCCTCGAGCCAGTGCCCCTGGAGTGCATCTGCTCTCTCCGCCCCCAGTAACAGAAAACAGGAGAAAAACCTTGGGAGCTGAGCATTCTTGGGGCTGGCAAATAGGTCCAACACTGAGTGGCCGAACCTCTCTGATGCTTCCCTGAAGAGGGAGCAGAGTGCAGGCACCACTCTTAGTGGTCTACCGTTGCCCTGCTCAGAAAGTCCACTGATGATTTGCTTCTCCTGATATATGTTCGGCCCTGAGGGAGACTAGGTTGTTCTCGGTCCAGGTTCCCAGCGATTGGGCCTCGGTCATGAGGGACCTGGACTGTGTGCTGTCGGTTGACATGGGCTTTGGCCGCCCCATTGTTCGTGAGGACATGCTGATCCGCCACTGCGTTGTGAAAGTAATGGAGGGCCAGATGTATGGCTCTGAGCTCTAACCAGTTTATGTTGTGTCTTAGATCTTCTTTGGACCATTGGCCCTGTGCCAATTGTGATTGTAGGTGCGCTCCCCAACCAAATAGGCTGGCGTCCGTAGTCAGAATGACTCTGGCGGTTTCCTTGAATATGTGTCCCTTTGCCATCGCTGGGGACAACCACACTTGAGTGATTTCAGAATCCTTGGTGGTACCCTTACCCTTTGGTTGGAGGCGCTGTTTCCCACTTTCTGAAATGGGAGCAGGAACCACTGCAGGTCCCTGGAGTGTAGCCGTGCCCACGGCATGATTGCTATGCATGATATCATTTTGCCTAGCAATTGGGAGAGTGTGGCCAGTGTGACGGTCCACTTCCTTCGAATTAGCCTGACCAGGGTTCGAATGCTGCTTTGGCGTTCTTGAGAGAGGTAGACCTCTGTTAGAGAATTTTAATTTCTCTATTGGTGAAAAAATAAATCAGAAACTCTCACAGTTGACTGCATTTAGCTGATTCAAAATAACTTCTTTATATTCATATAAAAATATTTACAATACCAAACATTCTTTTTTACAGCAACATAGCTCAATTGAAGACTTCTTACAGAGAGATACAGAGACAAACCAGAGACTGGAAATTCAGCTTCTAACTCAATATTCTTTTGCACAGACTCAGTAGCACTTTCTTCACATTGGCTGACTGAGTTACCACATGACTCTTCCTGCTCATAAATATTCCAATAACCTCGCACTTTAGTGTGTCTATCATAGCTCCCAGATGAAGAAGACGGATCGATGGGGCCGTTTGACTCTTCTGAAAATTTACTGAAAACCCATGGTCCTGAAGGGCCCTTAGGGTCAGTGTTAGATCTGACTGCGCCACCTGGACTGATGAGGACTGGATGAGAATGTCATCCAGGTAACACTGGATGCGCACCAGAATTGTCTGCAGGTACGCAGCGAGAGTCGCCAGAACCTTTGTGAATACTCTGGGGGCCGAAGAAAGACCAAAGGGAAGGGCTCTGTATTGAAAATGCTGGCCTGCAAGGCAGAATCTGAGAAACTTTCGGTGTTCCGTTAAGATGGGGATGTGAAGGTAGGCCTCCGTCAGATCTATGGACATCAGGAGGTCTCCCTTTCTGACGCCTGCTAATATTGACTGAAGAGTCTGCATTTTGAACTTCCTGTATGCCAGGTGGGTGTTTTTAGATCTAGAATTGCTCTCCACTCCCCTGAACTCTTTGGGACTAAAAATAATATGGAGTAGAACTCCTGTCCCTGTTG